AGCAGTTGGCGCTGATGCAACTCCCCAAATGTACGAAGTGGTCAACACGTCTAGCCATCAAGTGCGCAAACGTGTTCTAGAACACCGTCCAGCCAAGGAGAGACTATATCCCTTTGGAATACTGGTCTTCATACCGAGCCATAAAATCCTGCAACCGACTTCTAGAGGAAGTAGTGTCAGCGCCCTAAACTGGCTAATTCAAGAAGGTCTTGAGCAAGAACAGAAATTTAGAAGAAAAGACTAACATATGCTTCGAGAGCTCTATCCTAAATCAATAAATCAGAAAAGCACTGTTATGATGCTAGATCCTTTGTCACGAGGTCACTGCTTAACTACTGACCAGTGCCCACTTAACTGGTAAAGCAGAACACGAAGAGAATCAACGGTAAAACCAGGTTCATTTATTATGACAAAATTGACTGTATTTATACAGAAAATAAGGTAGACTGGAAATCAACCAATCCGGTTGAGAGTTGGAATTGTGCAAGCGTCCAATCAAAAGCAGGATCAATTGCATGTCAACGACTGGTTAATAACGCGATAATAACTTGACTGATGACCTGATAATTGCATGTGTTTTGCCTCTTCCTAACAAGCACAACATACTTTCATTCGCTCTACCGTGGCCACAATAACGTCCTTACCATAATTTTGCTCCGTTTCAATTTGTACGCCTACTATTATTATTATTTTATCATTACTCTATTATTGTCTACTAATAACACTTTTTAAAACAAGTTTACTAGTAGCTGACTGGTCTGGTGAATACTCTGGTAAACATAAGCATGATTGCACAGTTTCAGAAAATAGATCGTCGAGAGAAAAATTCTCTTTGCTGTTTACTTCTATCCCTCTTTCCTAAATTCCGCGAAGATATCGTCGACGGAATTCCTGTTATCGCGTTAATAGCATATGTCGTGCGTTCGATAACATGCTGTACCTACTTATGTAAGCGAAAGAAATAGTAATAGGGTTAGAAACTCGACAACAACTTTCTGAAGGGATAATGTCAACTCAATAAACGTGTGTAGATGTACCCAGCTGGCACTGACTTAAGGTGCATCGCAGGCACTTTGTGGCAGATTACAGGCAACTGTCCCACTTTCTATGATGCGCCATGAGTTTTTCCATGGAATGTCTGCAGTATTATTATTCCATTGGGTTCCGAGTGGAACATAGAGCTTCAACAACACATCTCAATCTCGTTCTCCTTCTTGCTGTGCTCTTCACCTGGGCCCACGACTGCCCATAATCTCTCATTTCATCAATGTCACCCTTGCACCTGCCACCCGCTCGTCGCTTCCCATTGTGATTAGACTCAAGCGACGGCCTGTACTGCCCGCGATTTCATTCGACGGCCCCCTCCAAGTATGCCCGATCCATCTCCATTTTCTCCTACTGCTTTTTTGCGCACACCACTCTTGGTCCGTTAGTTGCCAGTTTCATGCTGCTAATGCATTCTGACCGGCCATCTGATATTCAGTATGGAGCCAGAGAAGGCAGCTATTGATAAAAGTTGGCAAACTGTTGGAAATCCTTTTCGTGATACGCTGGCCAAGTTCCTGACCCGTACAAAAGAACTGACTGACTTCACATATGTGTTGAAAATCCGAATCTTGTTCTTTATGATGGCTGAGTGCAGTGCAGAAGATTTCCAAACTGGTTTTACGTTCATGAAGGCGTATCCTGCCTTTCCGATTCTGCCCAGCTTTGATATCCGTTCCGCCAGTGGTTGAAACTAAGATTCCTAGATAGATGAAAGAAGTAACCTCTGGCAAATTTCGCCCATTGATGGTGATTGGTGCTGGTTGTTGCTGTTGTTGGTTGGTTATCTTCATCACCTACGTTTCCACCTTCTCTATGCTCACCTGGAGTCCTGTTTCTGCTGCCTGCTTCATCATTCAGTTTGTTGGTTTTCTCCTTCAAGTTTTCGAGTTTGTGTGACATTAAACATAAATCATCCACGCACTAAATCCAGATCTCTTGGAGTCTTCTTACCGGTCGAACGTATTTCCGCATTCTCACACCCTAGTTTCCCTCATAATGCAGTCCACCGCAATTAAGAATACAATCGGTGACAGGAAGCAGTTTTCTCTTACTGATGCAATCACTTCAAAGACTCCGTAGTTTTCTTTTGTGGATCACCTGCTAAAATGTCTGCAATGGACCCAAATATAAATCTGGCTGGGTATATCAAGCCCTACAACAACCAGTCCAAAAGCCGGGAAAGCGGCTCTAGAATACGAGTAAGGTGGGGAAGGTCAGTGAATGGAATAGGGGAAACATTAGTCTCGAACGTCTCCTTTCCCAATTCTCCAGTTTCGTCCCGATGATTTTCCCGTGATTCTTCATCGAAACCGAAGCATTTGAACACAAAGATAATAGCATAAGACATGTTGCTAGTCACTCTAGGTGCATTATGCTTAATATCTCCACAATCTACTCCACTCAATATTCTGGACATTCGAACACCTACCTCAGATCAGTCTTTTACGAAATTAGCGCCTTCACCTTGCCCTACGATTTTGCGCAGGTCCAATATTCAATGTGATAAAAACATGATGACGTGTCACGTATTTCCAAGTCATACGTTGGTGAAATGCTAGATAACTTGATAGAAAAATACGAAATTGCGCTAAGGGTGCAGAATCCTCCTTCAGGATCTAATTATTATCTGCCAGTATTTCCCTATGATTTCTGAAGTCACAATACAACGCGGAAATTATTTCGTTTACTTTATTTTCACCATCGAAGTAAACATTTTAGTGTCTAATAATCTGTTGTGCGGCTGTACAAATCAAATAAATCAGCGATAGGTTGAAAAAGCTGTTTTTCAGGTCTGACGTGGCTGAACACAAAAAGTATCTGAAATTCTGTATGCTGCAATGCGCGTGTTTAACACAGAAATATAATAACATTATGAATCCTACCTACTTATGAATGAGGAATTTCTATCAATAATGAGTAATGTACACATTTCCACGTCTATTTCGATGGTTTTTTCTATCCAAGTAATAAAGATTATTCTTATAAGTACCGATTCCGAATTATTATTGATTTAGATATTGACTCAGACATTAATATATGAGAATGACGATGTGAAGTGAAGTGGAAAGAATTTAGGTGGTAAAATAAAAGCTAGAAAGAAAATTACTATGACCAAGGAAAACTCAGCGAGGCATTTGGAGTAAACACAGGAGTCAGACAAGGGTGCTTATTATCACCAATGATATTCCTAATTGTGGTGGACTGGATTATGCGTCAGACAACGGGAAACGAGAAGACAGGGATATCCTGGACCGACGTGAAGAACCTAGAAGACCTGGATTTCGCAGATGATTTATGTTTGATGTCACACAAAATCGAAGACTTACAGGCGAAAACCGACAAGCTGGTCGAAGAAGAGGCAAAGACAGGACTCCAGGTGAACATAGACAAGACGGAGGTCATGAAAATAACCAACCAACAACAACAACAGCAGCAACATCCAGCGCCAATCATCATCAACGGGGGGGATTTGAAAGAGGTTACTTCATTCACTTACTTATCTAGGGAGCATTGTCTCAACGACAGACAGGAGGAACGGACGAGGATGTCAAATCGAGAATCGGAAAGGCGAGAAACACATTCATCAACCTGAAACCAATCTGGAAATTTTCGTCACTCAACTCAGCATCAACAACAAAATTCGGATTTTCAATACAAACGTCAAGCCACTTCTTCTATATGGATCAGAAACTTGGCGGGTCACAAAGAATATTTCCAACAGCCTGTTGCACACCTTTATCAACAGCTGTCTTCGTTCTATACCCACGATCAGATGGCCGGAAAGAATCACAAACAAGAAGCTATGGGAACAAACAAAACAGGAACCAATCGCCCAACAAATATGCAGGAGAAAGTGGAGATGGATTGAACACTCGCTGAGAAGGCCGCTGGGTGACATCGCGCGTCATGCCATAGCTCGAATGGAACCCGAAAGGGAAGCGGTGAGTGGGACGTTCAAGGGTGACATAGAGGAGATCGCGCGAAGAAGAGTTGAAACAGTATGGATTAACATGGATGCAAGTGAAAAGTACAGCACAAGACAGAAGCAAGTGGAGGCGTGCAGTTGAAGCCCTATGTTCCATTAGGAACCCAAGGGAACAATAATAATATGAGGGGATATATTTATTAATAAAAATGCTATTATTACTAATTATAATGATATTATTATTATACCAAGTGATATGATTGCTTATGAATAATGTGCTTCATAGAAAAGACTAGAACATGGTAAACAGATGCAAAAAAGGGCCAGGTAATTAAATTGACTAAGTAAATATACGTGAAAAAAAGAAAAGGAAATAAAGTATATAAAATCAAAAAGTAAGATAAACAATTATATTAAATGATGATTATAATGGTGAGATTTTTTCGAAATTAATTAAAACAAACAAACAAACACACAATAAAAGCAATGATTCTAAATTAGTAAATATGTATATATATAAATGCCAGGTGCTTTCATGTCTTCCTTCTGTTTTTAATAAATGATGACATGTTTGATTTCGCGCCAAAACGACATTTCAACAACTATTTGAAAATTGAAACATTTAACACATTGAAATGCGGTGCAGAATTTTTGTGCAACGGATGGAAATAAAGACAGATTAAAGAGTGAAACAGAATTAGGAAGTGAGTAACTAAGTGGATGAGTGAATGGCCGAGATAAATATCACCGACTACAACACATACACACAAGCATTAAGTGAAATATTAGTAAGTATAACCAGTGAACAATAGAAATGGGTAAATGATTCAATATTCAATTAAATTAGCCTAAACTAAATGCCATCAATCAGTCAATCGATCAATAAATAACAAGAAACAGTAATAAAGAGTAAATAGAGTTCAAATGTGAATTAAATTTGTATTCATGAATTAATCCATTGAAGTTACTCTTTTGCTCAACTTTTTATTTCATCGTGAACTGGGCATTTTCACAATTATTCTTCTTCTTACTTTGTGGCGTCATTATCATCTTCACAGCATGAACACTCACAATCGCCTTCATCCTCTTGATCAGATCTTAATGGATTTTCATAGAATTCAAATGTTGGAGGACGACAAATGATTGGTGAATCACTTTTTTCATAATCATTATGATCACGATCATCATGATCATCATTATTATTATGATTATGATGATTATATATTGATGAAGCCATGTTCAGAGAAGCATTGTAACGCTGAAATTGAAGAAAACGAAAATCAATATACATATATAAGAGAATTTCACACACAGGGAATTCTTTAAAATGAGGTTTAGTTTATTTAAGTCATTTGACTAAAGTTTCCATAGATTTGTTAACCAATAAAAAGACCAGTAATAAACATTTTCATTCTATTTTAATAAATCAGTGTGGTATTAAATTTCAGGCGGTCTAATTTAAAGGGCCAAAAACAAACAAACAAACGAACAGGTGGTTTCAGAGCACATTCCAAGAAACTTATGTTCAAAACCTCTAATTCAATGGAGATATATCTGCGGAAACACTAAAAAATCGACTGTCGAGCTCACTTGAGAAAACTTTCTTCCCAGCTGAACTACGACTAACCTTCTCTACAAAACCTATGATTCACGTGAATGTGAAGGATAAGCTACCACTGCTGGCCTCATCAATGTGTATTTATCAGTTCACCTGCTCGTGTGGAGTCAGGTATGTCGGCCGTACCCAGCACTCGCTTTCCAAACGTATCACCGAGCACTTACCAACATGGTTTTACAAAGGAGAAAGTCGATGCCCCCACAGTTCCATCTTAGAACATCTGATAGGATCCGGACACCAAGCTACACCGCAAACAAACTTCAAAGTCGTCTACAGAGTAAGAAGTAGTCTTCCTAAAGGTGTACGAATCAGACTTCTTCAAACTGCAGAAGCAATGGCAATTCACTTGCTAAGTCCTGAACTCTGCATACAGAAGAAGTTCGTTCAATCACTACACTTGCAATGGACGTAATCTATCTTATTAGCCGACAAGTAAATTCTACCTAATCTTATTTTCTGTCTCTTCATTAGTATTATTTTGTCTTCTCAATTGTAATATTTTACATTTTCAACTTTCTTGTTCTCTACCCCCACCCGATTCAATTTCTACACCTCACTACCACTGTTACTGACTTGAACAACGCTCAATTTCTAGTCATTTGTGTTACGTCATCCAACTTATTTGCTCAATTTCATTTCTACTTAGTCTCTACCTGTAATTACCTCTGTTGCTACCCTGATCTAAGTTGGAACATTTTAGTCAATTATATTATGTCATCTAACTTACTAACTCAATCTTACTTTAGTTGTTGTCTAATTAGCCATGTTTCTATATTAGGTCATTTTTGTATTACCTAATTAGTTATCCAAACTTGACAAACCTCATGTACACACACACACACAAATAATTATATATAAATGCTATTGTACAGCTATGTGAATGAATTCACCGAAAAGAGTCTCTTCGCTGGACGTCTTCTCTTTTTCATATGACCGGTCATTTTGTCGAGATTTCCAGATCCTTCAAAATATTAAACATACAAAGGACAGCTAATCTACTACAATTCGCTGAAGTAATTTCAATGAGGCATTTCAGACCAAACTTATGCACACAGAAAGCGAGTGTAGTCAACCTCTCACTCCCTCGGTAACTGTATCACTTTCATTACACTGATCTGTCATACACACTAGTGAGCTCAGCTCACTAAGCAAGTTTTCAATTTGATGAAATCCAACCTTGTTGAGTTGCCATTTTGACGTACAAGCTAAGAATGTTAATTAGATTTTTCTGTTTTCTGTCTCCTCTCACCCCCTGTTTTTTCATAGTTCGATACCATATAAATTGATGGTGAATTAAACTAAAAACTGTAATACTTATATTCCGGATGTTTTCATCTTATAATGTTTTCTCTATTATCTTTCAAACACTGAAGTATGAAATGTTATTATTTACAACCATCGTAATTTCAGGTAGCCTACAGCAGCAGATGAGAACCTGTGAAACAGAATGGTGATATCATTTTATACTGCAAATCTGGTCTTTCTTTCTCGATCGAAGCAGGTGGTTATTTGGTGTCCGGCTTAAGTAAACAGCTGGTAAGCTATGAGTAAGCTATTATGTTTATATTTAGGTACTGGCCAATTAAATCGTTAGAATTAATCCAGGTTGCTATACTTTGTAGTGATAAATAAAATCAGGGACTATTGATAGCATGATAATACAATAGGCTAAACTAAGATTCCACACTAATTAACCAGAGGAAATTAGGTAGATTTCAGCTGAGGACAAGGATACAATGTTCACGGGTCAATAGATTCTTGAACAAAAATATACATTTAAACACATCAGAAACGTTTCATATTTATTTTTAAACTGGAGGTGGTCATTTGACTTTCATATTAGATTAGTTGATTTGATATAGCACACTGTGTTACAGTCAAGCTCATGATCATGTCAGTGTATTCTCAAGGCTTCATAATTTGCTTTTCGTACGTTTACTCTCCCGCTTGTCATCTTGATACAGACTGATAGAAAGGAGCCAAAATTGAAATCAACACCTTAATTTAATGGCTGGCTGAAGAGGTAGAAGTGTTTTTCCCTCAAATATAGATTTAGTATACCTAGTGGACATGAAATTACCGTATTGGACAACTTGTTCAACCTTGAACAAATCGTCAGCCAATCAGAACAGTTTATTCTCCCCCGCTCTAATCGAACCCTAATATGGCTAAGAATGCATAATTTGTTTTTACTTAATAAAGTTCCATTAACAAGACTCTTATCTGCTCCTGTTACAGAATCATACTCTATCACAGTGCCGAAAATTCTATTCCTAATATTAAAGGTCATTCAACTTTGTTGGTAGAGAGGTCTTGTGGTAATAACTGATTGTGAAGACAGTGTCGTGGAAGTGCACCATCCTAGTCAATTCACTTCATCTGAACTCAAGTCACAAGCCAGTTCTTATGTAATGTTGTCGTCCAAAGTGTTATATACAAATAATCCCTTAGTGAAAATCCATACAACCTTTTTAGTCTGGGCTGTCATTCTTCATAATACCCACGTTTATTTCTGAGACGATTTTAACCTGTACGCATATATTTTTCAAACAGAAAAGATAGAAAAGCATCGTGTTGCTGGTAAGGAGGAAAACTGCTTTAACTAATGTAGTTGGTTACTACCAGTTTGTTTCAGGTTAGATGACGGATTGATATCAGCTAGAGAACCACTGAAAACCTCTAGGGACTACTGGACAACAGTTTCATCCTAGTGCTTGGGACTCATTGGTAGTACGCACCCACTGGGTTTCGAACCCAGGACCTTCCAGTTTTAAGGTAAGTCCGTATACCATTCAGCCACTGGGACCCAATTCATTGGCCCATGAATTCTAACTTCTATCGATTCCAGTACTCCCTGGTTTTCAATGGTTCTCTAACTGATCAATTCGTGGTCTGACCTGAAACAAACAGAATCCCTACAAAAACCAATTCTTGAAAATATACTACTAGTTTGAAGACACAAGCCTTTTATAAATGTGAAAATATTTTTTAATGACAAATACTGAGGATTCCGTATTACAAACATACAAAGTAATCTATTTTTCCTTTGTAATGGTTTCCATTCTATCCTTCCCTCAATTCGTATGTTTATTTCTAGTTAACAAGAAGACTGTTGTTATTATTGCTCTCTCCGGTTCCAAGTTGACACCAGGGCTTCAGCAATACGTCTCACTTTCACTCTGCATTTTGCGGTCTCTTTTAGCTCACTCCACAATTGTGTACAACCCCTCATTTCCTCACCACATTACCTCGTCCGTGCCACCCTTGGACACCCACCTTGTTATTTACCATCTCGGTTCCACCCAAGGATCTGAGGCGTGTCTCATGTTACAGACCTTCATCAACAACTGTCTTCGCTCAATACTACTCCAGATTAGATACACAGAAAAGATCAGCAATAGGGAGGGATCTCTAGGAGCGAACCAACCAAGCAGGAACCAATTGTGCAACAAATTTTAAGGAAGAAATAGAAGTGGATTGGTCATACTCTGAGAAAACAAACCATCAAGTGACACCACACACCAGGTCATCGCTCTAGTGGAACTCGAATGGGAAGTGGCGAGTTGATCGTCAGTGTGAGGGTGACATGGAGGAGGTCATGCAAAGAGGAGATGGAAGCATGTGGGGAGAGGTTAAGCCAGGTGAAAAGGTTGACGGAGAACCGAACGCATTGGAGACGTCCGGCTGAAGTCCTATATTCCTCTAGGAACTTAAGGAAACAATAATAATAGTAACTAGTGATGTTACACAATGGTCTATTCAGCGTTAGTCCAGTCCATCTCCATTTCTTTTGGCATATTTTTTGCGCAATAGGTTCTTGGATGATTCGTCACTTATCCTTTATAGTCATCTAATGTAACAGGGAAGGCAATTTTTGGTGCGAATCTGAAGTATGCTGTTGGAAATGGTTTTTGTGAGGTCCGTGAAACACGTAGAAGCACTGACTGGCTGGAAATTCATTATTGAAGATATGAATCTTGTTTTTTATGTAGAGTACAGCAGATTTCCAGTTTATAAAGGTCTGTTAGGATGCGCCAGTCCTGGACTTGGAAGCCTCATTTGTGACTCCTTACATAGGGTTGAAATGATGTTGCCTGCCTAGATAATTGAAAAGAGGGTTTATTGATATAGTAAATCCATACGAAATCGATGCCACTGACACACTCAACTCTCTTGTTTGATGAAAATATTTTCAATTAGTTGATGATCAAGCTTGAGTTTGTAAATTTAATTTTTACGGTTGTAGCTAAGATGCTACTTATATATTTTGTCAGTAGTTTAAAACTAAAATGCGTAGTGAAACTTCATAGAGGCTGAGAACTGTTGGTTAAAAGCCGAATTAGCGACATATCTACACCAAACAATCAAACTGTTTATGTAAGATCAATAAACTGTCTTTAGAGACTAATTCTATCTAAGATACACTGAGAAGAAAGGAAAAATACTGACCTCCTGTAGTTTTAAAGTAACAAAGGTGATAAGTGAATTGAAACTATTTAACCTAGAGAACAAACACAGAATTTTTAACAGATTATAAAAGTCGTTCAGATTATGTTTTACTCCCAGTTGATTCAACCGAAATGCCCTGCCTCCGCTGACATGTCACTTTAAGTACGGATTTGTGAACGCTGTCTGAAAGCTAACGTCATGTTACTTAGATTGTTGGGGGATATCATTGGAACTCAGAATGCGCGTTCCATTCGAATGTAGTCTCATCATCTGGATCCAACTGCATCTCTGATGAGCCTCTGTTAGAACAGCATCACTTAGATGCAGGCATAGCCAGATGATGAGTCCCAAAACGTGACGAAACGCTCGCTTTTCATCCCAATTCTGGCCACTATCAACACAAAGAATTTAACATTGATCATAGGAAATGAAATAATAAATTGTATTCGAACAGTGTTGCATAGAATACCTTTTCATCAAGTAGAACAGTTTTCGTTTCAAATTCTTTCATATCTGATTCATTCACAATGGGATTTGGTATAACTCTTAACGGTTCATTTTGTGTTTGTTTATGCTGTTTCTGTTGTGTTATAACAATAGGTGAATTATCGCCGTTTGATTTTGAATTTCTTAACTTTTCTGCACTTGTTATTTTTTCCGGTTTTATTGTTTCTTCTGCATCATTGAATTGTTGACTTGTATACATTTGTTTTAATATATCTTCAGTACACGGTATCATGTGAAGATTATTTGTTTGTGATTTGAATTGATGATTCGATTTTGAATGAATACGTTGTATTCGATTAACAGCAACAAATAGTAGTAATAAGATAGCCAAAACTGAAGCACCAATAATCAGGAAAATGCTCTAAAATAAAGATAAGTGTGATAATGAGAAAAAGTGAGTGGTTAATTTATGCGTAGTTAATCAGGTAACAAACATCGTATATATTGATTTACGAATTTGAGAATAAAATTATGTAAAATAAGCTTGAATATGCACCATACTGACAAAGTTTTGATTGTTGACCTACCGTAAATAAGTAAAAGATGTGATTTGAAAATGAAAAGTGAATAAATCAAAATTATAGTGCCAACTTTATGTATGTTTAAATAATGGTAATGATTCAGACAAACAAATGATTATTATCCTACTCTCAAAACTTTTAAAAATCTCCTAACTTCGATATATTACTCACTCTATTATTCCACTTAACATGGGGGATCGAATGTAAATATCTGTGATCAAAGACACCTAGCGTCTCTATGTCTTCCAATTTCCACGGTGGTGTCTTACAAACACAAGGGAGGACAGAAAGAACTGCTGTGGAGTACGCACACCATTTCATAAATAGGTGGATATTACGTGTACTCGAGAGATGACAGATGATTACAGGATTTCATCATGAGCTGACATAGGTTAAAGGACCATTGGTAAACCTAGTTTGGGACACTTCAGCAGTATGCACCAGCACAGGGGTTTGAACTCAGGATCTTCTGGTTACAAGACGAGGTCGTAAACGATTAGGCCACTGGGACCCGACCCAAAGGCCAATCCATGAATTCCAACTTTCAAGGACAGCGCGACCGCTAGCCAATGTCTTCGGCTAGTGGGAGGTCGTGAACAGTAGGGTGCAGAAGGTCGGGTGTGAGGATGGATACTGGCCACCGATGACATTGACTAATGGTCACGCCATGTCGTGAATTGGTAGAAGCTGGAATTCATGGACTGGCCTTTGGATCGGGTCCCAAAGGATTAATGGTTTACGACCTCGCCTTGTAACCAGGAGGTCCTGGTCTCGAACCCCGGTGGGTGCGTATTGATGAAGAGTGCTGCTGCTGGATTCAACATAGAACTTGGCACCGAAGTGCAGCAGTTCGAGTTGCCACGTTCCAAATAGCACACAAACGTAGACAAGAAAAGGAGAGAAGAGAATCAATAGAATTTAGATAAGTATAAGAGTGAAACAGAATGAGTAATGGTAGAAAGGAATATGAAGGTTAAAGAGACTGAATACATCTGCGCCATTGACAACGATTTTGAGCCATGTCACCTATTGTCTCCAGCCATTGATTCTTAGAGTCCCAGGCACTAGGACGAAGCACCTGTTCAGTACTCTCCCTGGGTGGTTTTCCAATTGTTCTGTAACCGTTGTCAGCTTATGATGAAATCCTGTAACCAACCGATGAATTCCCTACAAACCTATACTTGAAGATGACAAATGCCAAATCTTCTATTTCTATGCGTACTGAAACTTCTCCAGCAATCAGTCTACTAGGGCTGATGCAACTTCCCAAATACTTGAAGAGGTCAACACGCCGTACCATTTCACTCATAATCTTTAGGCTGCTAGTCATTGTAGTATGGTTCTGTCGTATTACTTTACATTTGACAAGAGCAAATCATACGACAAACATTCAAAGATTTCTTCCGTTATTTGGTGTTTCGGGTAGTAGTATTAAAATCAAAGCATAGTGGCATTGATTGGTAAAGTATTTAGTTACTAGTGTGAAGTGTAAACTGCCCATCTGGGGTTTCAGAGACGCTAAGAATCAATGGGTGTAGACTTCTGGTGATATGGTACAAAATCGATCTTTATGGAACAAATGAATTCAGTCCTTATGAACTCTCATGTCTCTCCGTGTACTTATTCTTTCTTTCATACATTTCAGTTTATTACAAATATTTTCCGATTTTCCTCCACTAATATGTGTGCATTTATGAAGTGTGACAAATTGGACTGCTGAACATTTATGTAAAAATTCTTCTTCTCAACGAAGTCATCAACTCGGAGGATGTACATTAGTGTATTTATAGGAAATCAGTGAGAAAGTCCCAGAACTATTTCCGCCCTAAGGTCAAATTAATAAAATTACAAAGTGTAATAAGCAGAAAGATAGGATAATAAGCAAATCACATGACAAGAAAGTTCAAATTCCATGCCAATAAAAATATGAACAATAGAGAAGTAAATCAACATCCAGTCACTACAGTGGTTGCCGGGGGATATAGTCACATCGTTGATGGAGAATTTTAAAAAGTCCATTTTATACTACAACCTGCTCTGAAGATGTTGTCTAGAAGAATGACGAAAGCTTCGCAATTAAATCAGTCAGCACAGAGAATACAGTTAATTAAAAAACACACATAGAAAGATCATAATTAATGAGAAACGTGGCTATTTATACAGTTAGAGATTAAAAATGTAGCAGTAACAAAATAGACAGTAAGCTCGGATAAAAAACTTCAACATGCATATACTACTTCACTTGCTCATGTGGAGCCGAGTACATTTGGCCGTACCAAGCGTCCGATTTTAAAACGCACTTAGGAAGACTGTCAAGAATTTTTAGCTAAGACAAAACGCGAGTGTATATATTTCAGTAACTGAACATCTGGTGAATTCAGGATATCGAGCTCCATTTAAAAAGTCTATTAAAGTCAAATACAAGATCCGTTCAAATCTCTCCAAGGAGTGAAATCAAGGCATCCAGAAATAGCTGAGGCGCTACCAATCCAAACTGTTCAAGCCCACACTATGTATTCAAAAGCAATACGTCCAACCATTCTCCCTACCATGGCCATCAGAAGGAGTCAATCCTATCGATAATGATTATCCCCTCACCTTTCTTATCCAGTCTTCTTGTTAATTTCCACTACCCTTACGTTTATGCAGAAATTTCTACCTGTGTTACTGTGTTTTTATCCGAACTTCTTGTCTGTTTTCTTATTACTACGTATTTAATTCCTAACTGCACAAACAGTCGTTTCTCAGTACGTGTGATCTCCCTATGTTTTTTATCCGATCTTCTTGCTTATTACATTTTGTAATTTTATTGATTTAACCCTTGGCTGGAAATATGGCAAAGTTAAACTTTAAGCACCACTAACTACCAATTAACGAATGACCTAGAACGCACCAATCATGTGAAGGAGATATTTTTGTGTATGGAATACATATATTTATGAAATAATGAATAAAGTCTGTAGAAAAGTTTTATAGAGGATACCTTGCTCTCAAGTGTGATAAAAATAGCTCTCACTTTCAGGCTGGAGTATCAACAGAGTATAATTCCATTGTGGGTAAAACTTGTTTTGATAAAGTCTCGTAGTGTAATACTGTAATATTTGTTGAGCAATAAATTGTGCTCGAAACGTGATCATCAGTAAATATTACTTACTGTATAACACTGTGAGACTTTATCAAAATAAATGTTACCCACAATGGAATTATACTCTAACACAGTGTACAAGTACTATTCTTATATCAAAAAAGTAATTTAACCACATTCTATGCATGTAATTATTTAGGTATTCTAACCCTAACAATAACCCTAATCTTTCCGGGACCTAAACCTAACATGAAAATATCCCTAAACTAACTGTAATCTAACTCGAACCAAACCTACTGTCGCCTTTATTAGGCTAACCTAACCCTAACTTGTCCTTGGCTTAAAGCGTAACTTAATCTTTCCAAAACCTTAGCTGAAACTTGCCAGATATCCCATTTAATGACATAACACTTCGATGAGCATATTTTATTGATGATGACAACATGATTTAGCAGGTTTCAGAAACTTGCTCAGTGAGCGTTTCAAGGTCATTGTGTGTGGTCACACTCCACTGGTTGTTAGTGGTGCTTAAGGTTTAACTTGGCCGGAAATAGTTCTGGGACTTTCTCCCTAATTTCCTATAAATACACGAATGTACAGCCTCCTAGTTGATGACTTCATCGAAAAGAAAATTTTCTTTGCTCCAACCATCTTTTTAGTAATTCCTTTGAAAAAGTTGTTCTACGTTGAAAATTTCATTCAATACAGTTCTTAGTTATTATGGCGTTGTACAGAAATATTATGGTAAATCAAGGAACAACTACACCAAGGTATAAAGTTCCATGTCTGTCCACGTTCGCGTCCGGTGTTCGTATGTGTCTGTTCAATCAGTGTTTCAATTAGTTGAAGCACACACACACACATACAGAATAATAAGCAATCAAAAGGCAAAGAGTTGAAGAGAATGGTGACTTAAACAAAAGGTTCATTCTGTTGCAGTTTACGTGGACATCAAGTGTTTTTAATAAAACAAATAAATACAAGACAAATATTTCCTTGAACAGCGTAATTTTATCTTAGAAACACCAAGAAAGAGATTACTACTACTACTAAACTATGTTTGATTACATAATCCTATAATCAGTGCTTGGCACATACGCAGTTACGCACACACACACACACACATAAAGACTTAGGAATGTGCGCAGTATACACTGCGTCTGTCAGTAATGTGTTTTTAGAAAAGAAATCTAGAAATTAGACAGTTGGTTTTCAAATTTCCCTCCCTTTCTTTTCGCCATTTTTTTTAAAAAGTACTACCATCATTTTACTATTAACACTACTACTACTGCTATTGTGGAGTGTAACAACAGTTGGTGGAAAGGCAGTAGCGAGCGACAGCTACCACGAGGGTGGATTATGTGAAATCCAAGTAAGAGAAAGGAATAGGGAAACATAAGTTTTAATTGTTATTATTGTTGTTAAAGTGACTTGTGGTCAATAGCGTAATGAAGTCACGTTTAAAACCAAAATGCCACCATAATAGCCCTACATTGATCTGCTGATGTAACTTCATAATGATGTTTAACTACTAATCAAATTGATTTGATGCCATTTTGTATTTTGGTGGGCCTTAAAACTGTTGAAGAAAGGGTTTTAATGGAACAGTACTGTATATATATATGCATAACTTTTTAAGAACTAGCATTATAAGAATTACAGTAAAGTAAGAACAAACATTAGTTGGCAGAAGAAGCATCAAAGATAAGACTGCCTTCAGGTGAACATAGAGAAAACAGTCACAGCAGCAACAAC